AACAGAAATACCTGAGTCTCATGTTGTATCAGAGAATACATTGGTGGGTCTCAAGCCACTCTATAGACACCTGAAGTTTCCATGCCTTTGTCTGAATGCTTAAAGTAGAAGTTTCAGTTCTGAGGAGCATGTAAAACACAGATGACAAGTAGAGATATCCCTCAAAATCTGTAGGGTATTTGTTCCATGACTCTTGTGGATAGAAAAATCATTGTACACTCAGCACCCTCATATAAATTAATTCATACGACGCATTCAAAGCCCCTTATGTTTTAAAGTAAACCTACAGATTACTTATGATAACTGAAAATGTCTTCACATATTCAGTCTCAACTCCATAGCTTTATCTGAGGAGCTGACTTATTCTTCAGCATCTCAATTACCTCCCATAAACTAAAAACCACCAGAGAGGTCCAAAACCCTTGTCTGTATTTATATTCAAAATACACTATTTACCTTTATTAACTTTTGGGGGGTTTTTTTGGTCTTGTTGAGACAGGGTCTCCTTGTAGTCCCAGCTGCCCTGAAACTCACTATGTAGACCAGGCTGGCCTTGAACTCACAGAGATCTGCCTGCCTCTGCCTCCCGAGTGCTGGGATTAAAGGTGTGCTCCACCATGCCCAGCCCTACCTTTATTAACTTTTTAGAATATTTTATTTATTATTTTTATTTTATGTGTATGAGCATACTGCCTGAATGTATATAACTGCATCCATGCAGTACAATGCCCGCAGATATCAGAAGATATCAGATACCCTGGAACTGGAACTACTGATGATGATTGTTAAAGGTCATGTGGGTGCTGAGAATCAAACCCAGATCCTCTGCAAGTACAAACAGTGCTCTTAACCTCTGAGCCATCTCTCCAGCCCTTTATTAATTTTTAAGTCAGTAGCTATAGAACTATTAATATAGGTGTGTGTATGTTTCTGTGTGTCTGTGTGTCTGTGTGTGTAGGTTAGCTTACAAAATGGTAGAGAAAAGAACTCTCATAAACCAGGAAGTAATAGCAAGGAACAACAAATGGAATCTCATCAAACAAGGAGACGAAATAACAACAGGACAGCCGATAGAATGAGAGCTAAGCTCTGCTTACCCTTAAGGTTTTAAAACTATTTGTTCTAGGCACCATAGGTATTTTTCAGAATAGGATCACTCCTGTAATTCTGGTTTCCTATGCATATGTCTTCCCCCAGATACTGTTGCACAGCTGTTGACAGCAAGAAGTTAATTGGAGCTTGGCATTAGAACTTAAAAGTTGTCATCAGCACCTGATTTTCTTACCTTGTTGACGGCACTAATTTCCTATTAGTGGTGAGTTGTATGACTTTTATAAAATCAAAGTGATTATTGGTCATGTTTTAATTCTAACTTTTGTTGCAACTTCCCTGTTATTTAATAGTGAATAAATAGAAACCTTCTGAATGGCTACAAGATAGTAGCATGTCTTAAAAAAATGTTGCTATTCAAATTATCTTTAAAATAATGTTTCTATAATGATCTGAAATGCATTGACAACTTTTTGCTCTAGTACTTTTTCTAATTTTCTACACATTATAAACTGACAGATTTGTAAAGCATTTTTTCCTGGAATAATGAACTGAATCTAGGAACAAAGATGTAAAAATAAAATCCAAGTGTGGTGGTATCACATTAAAGAAAAATTTCTTCACTCTTGGAGAAGTTTAACCAAGAATGGGCCCAATCTGCTCTGAGCTGTTCCTCAGAACTGTGTATATTCTATACTTCGGTCTAACAAAGGGCTTCCTCTCATTTTATTAAACATCATGTCATGCATGACATGGGAAAGAAAATATTTAACAGCTTTTAGCTGACCCTACTTATTCAGAACAGCATACACAACCACAAACAGACATCATCAACCTATGCCCAGATGTTGCACCCATCATTTGTGGGGAAGATGTTGTTTTCAAAGTCACTGTTGTTTTCAACATCATCACTGTGACATCTCATGCACACATTCATTATTCTGAGTCAGGAGCTTAGCTGAGTCACAAATAGGGAACATGGCATGAGATTAAAGCTGTGTTTAGTTTAGCTTATCAGAGTTAATTACTGATATCATGTTTCCAAATTTCCTTTGTAAAGGTTTGTTCCAAAGAAACCTTCTGCCAGGCATTGTGACACATGCCTTTAAACCCAACTCTTGGGAGGCAGAGGCAGGCTGATCTCTGTGAGATGGAGGCCAGTTTGGTCCACAAAGAGTATGTCTTAGAAAACTCATTCCCACGCCTTAGTTTTTTAAATGACTATATTCAAACAGGTAAAACAACTTTGTAGTTATTATAAAAGTTTTTGAATATTTCTTGTTACATAAAGTACTAAGCAATTCATGAAACATGCCAGCCCTAGAGTCGTGTTTTGCATAACACAGTTTTATAGTGTTGGTTTTATAGCACAAGCATAAATATAAAGCAAATTATTTCAAGGTAATGCCTGTGACAGTATCACAGATTTTTTTATCAATGCAAAATACATGAGGTCCCCTGGGGGAGGGGTCTAAATTTCATTAAGAAATTTTGTATGAAATGTACAGAAGTTCAATAAAAACACTTAAAAAAATAAGAGAAGACATGAAGTGAGGGGGCAGGAAGGTGGGGGTGGATATGAAAAGAGATGAGGGAGTTTAAATATGATCACAATACACTGTATGAAATTCTCAAAGAATCAACAAAATATTGTTTTAAATAAGGTTATCACAATACATTGTATGAAATCCTCAACAAATCAATAAAATATTTAGATAAGGTTATCCAGTACCTCCTCTACATATGTTTCAAAATTCTAAAAATTCAAATAAAATAATTGCTTATTAAATGTTGGAAAAAGTTCTTAGAGAAACCTTATTATTTCAATAGGTTTTATTGCATTCTCTTACTACAATAACAAGTCTGTTTTTATTGTTTGAGATTTCATACATGCATATAATGTGTTTCGATCAAATCCTCCCGTTCCCTCCCTTCCAATTTTTCTCCTCTCCTCCTAACCCTTTTCCCTTCCAAACTTGTGTGCTTTCTTTTCTTTCTCTTTAATCCCAGAGTCCACTTACTGTTGCCTGTATGTGCATGGGTGTAGGACCAGCTACTGGAGCAAGGGTGACCTTTCAGGAAAAATATTCAAGAAGACAGTTACTTTTCCTCATCCACTAGAAGTTATTAGCTGCCAATAGTTCCTCAACTGGTAGCTGATGACCACCTCTCCCATCCATGTTGTGATTTTTGCTGGCTTAATCCTGTGTAGGTATTGTGCATTCAGTCATAACTGCTGAGAGTTCAAATGTACAACAGCTGTGTCGTGTCTAGCAAATACCGTTTCACTGCAAATGTCCACTACCTCTAGCTCTGACAATCTCTCTCCACCATCTTTCTCTTATAATCCCTGAGTCTTGCAGGGAAGGTTGAGTTATAGTCCCATTTAGAGTTGAGCACTCCACAATCATCTGAGTCCATTTGGAATACATTTTTCATATTTCGCATTAGATAATGTCAGTTATACCTTGTTACAATACCTATTCATCCTGTAAGCCTTCTTAATACTTCAAATTCTCAATATAAAATATATTTCAATTCATAAGCTTTAGGTATATTTATGGGTTACAAGTTAAGGGATTTGCACTTTTCAAGTTCTTAACTACTGATTTCTTGAATCATGCATCATTTAGAGATTATTCAGTGCTTGGTGAAATAACTCTAATTTCACCAAAATTCTATTTTTTATAGATTCATCTTAGTTATGCAAAAAATGCTATATACATTTAAATATATTCATATATATGTATAGTGAATCTATCATTACACTTATTTATTCTCTGTGCAGAGTGATTCTACACACAATGTATGCAATTCAGCAAGGAACTATTAGTGGATGGATATGGGGAATGTCACAAACATGTTGAATTCTGGGTAAGACATTAGCACCTCTTCGTCACCAATGGTGTTTCTGTCCTGGGTTGTATAGAACTAAAGAACTCCATTCATGGCACAAACCAAACTCCAAAATGACTTTACCTATTGCATTCCAGCTCCTGAGAGGAGAACACAACAGGAAATAACGAACTCAAACATACAAAGCAAGTACTGAGGAAAGTAGAGCTTGTCTAGGGATGGACAGCTGTGATGTTATGTTACAGATAAGAAGGGTTTCTTACAGGACAGTTCTGGTGGAGGACACAGATTCTCAATTTTAGTTCCTTCTAACGAGTAATTGTTCTTTGAGGGAGGCAGTGTGGGCAATATTAAGACTTGATCTGGATGTGAAACTCCAAACCTTGTTTCCATAACAACAGATCCCCCACTTTTGGTTGAATTAGCTATAGTAGTTTGCCTGTTTGTTTTTGAGACAGAGTCCCACTCTGTAGTTCAGGATGGACTAGAATTCCTATGTAGCTTAGATTTGTTTAACTCATGAAAATCTTCCTGCCTCAGGCTCCTAAGTGATGAGATTACAGGTTGGTACTGCCATACCAAGTTACAGCAGTAATTTGTATATCTGTAGATTAAAACAGTGTTCTCTGAAGATGGCTATGAATAATGGTCAGATAATAAGAGTTTGACAAGTAGCTGTGGACTTTAGAACCAAAAGGAAATACCCCTGGGTGAAAATTGACTGGTGCATCAAGTCCTTAACTCCAGTTCCAGGGGAATCCAAAGCCCCCTTCTGACCTCCGTGGCATTGCATGACATGGGTGCACTCACATACATGCAAGCAATATACTCATACACATAAAATAAAAAGTAATAAATAAAATAGTTTAAAATATTTTTACTATAGTAGCCAATAAACTGTCATGAGTTAAGTGAGTGGCATCTACAAAGAATAAGCTTGAGCAAGGTTATGTAAACAAACATTTCTTAGTAACACCAGAGTACTTGTACAAACTTTACTTTCAGAATAGAAATAGATCCAAGTGAAAGACATTGAAGCTGTTGTCCTTGGTGTGTCTCCATCTCCCCATACACCTGATACCTTCTATATTGGTCTACTGTATCTGTCTTCTAAGCACTTCCCTTAATGCCTCCTTCACATCCTTGTTCCTTAGACTGTAAATGAATGGATTCATCATGGATGTTACGACTGAGTAGAACACTGAGATCACCTTATCCCCTTGATTCATTTTCTTTGAATTCGGCTGCATGTAGGTAAATATTGTTGAGCCATAGAAGAAGATCACAACAATGAAATGGGAACCACAGGTAGAGAAGACCTTGAGCTTCCCTTCTCCTGATCGTATTTGAACCACAGTGGAGATAATATTCCAGTAAGAGAAAAGGATGAGAGAGACTGGACCTAGGAGAATTATTACACCCATTGCAAAGATGACCATCTCAGCTTTGTAGGTTTCTTCTGAAGCCAGCTTCAAGAGCGCAGGAGGCTCACAAAAATAATGATTGATTAAATTTGGTCCTTGGTATGTCAGGCATAAAGTAAATGTGGTATCTACTACAGACACAAACACTCCACTAGCCCAGGACCCTGCAACTAGCAGAACACAAACTCTCTGTGTCATGATGGTGGAGTAGTGCAGGGGCTTGCACACGGCTATGTAGCGATCATAGGACATCACTGCTAGAAGTGAACTTTCTGTACACCCCATTATGAGGAAGAAAAACATCTGCATTGAGCACCCAGTAAAAGAAATTGTCTTTCTTATGACTAGAAAGTGCACTAGCATCTTGGGAACGATAGTTGTAGAAAAACAGAGATCATTGAATGACAGGTTTTTGAGGAAGAAGTACATTGGCATATGAAGTCGAGAGTCAACTTGAATGAGGAATATGATGAGCAGGTTTCCAAACACAGTCAGCAGGTAGATGATGAGAAATGCCACAAACAGCAGGATCTGAGTCTGATGATCTGAAGAAAGACCCACCAAGATGAACTCAGTCAGATCGGTGTTGTTTTCTTTGCCCATGGATGCTTATTTCTTTCTATAGGTTTAGTAAACAAAAAGCAACAAAGTGTTGGCTATGACGGTCAAATCCAGAAAGTTTAGATATCATTGAAAGAAAAATCGATTTTGTTTTAAATATTATTGTATTTAATATGTTGCATTTTTAAATTACAAACACCTATATTGCTAAAGAAGTCATTTTGTCTGTAGATACAATGAAATCAAGATCATGTCTTCTTCGTGATCCTTGTTGACAGAGTCCTGTCATCTATAGAGCCATTGCTCCACAGTTACATGGATCATACCAGCAAATATCTTCACAGACAATTATATGTCATCAATCTAACATGTAAATTTGCCTGATGTGAAGGAATATCCAAGCCATATAGCAAGGGTACAAATATTATATAACTTTGAAAAACAGTAAGGAATTCTTCTCCCTTTACTGGAAAGCTCTTTCTGACTTTTACCTTATTTTGTCTTATTGTCTTTTACCTTCTAGTCTACTGATCATAAGAATATTTTAGTTTTGATTTAATCAAATGCAAATAAACCAAACTTTCCATTTTCTTCCCAGGGGATTCTTTATCATCTTTCCCAACAAGAAGGAGAAATTATGAAGCAATTTTCAGTTGTGTCACAAGACACAATTTTGTTATCTCCCAAATTTTTCTTGGATCGTGGAATCAATGATTGAATGTAATGGCAATACTGGAGATTAAGGCAGGAAAGATCCTTGTTATGTAAGGGAAAAACAGGAGAAAGATTGTCAGACTTAGGTAGTTATACACACTGTGGAAACCTGTCACTGAGACCAAAAGCAGTCGCCACAGGAACTGGCTGAGATGACAATGTCTTATGTGGACTCACAGGGTTGGACCTCATCTGTGCTGTGGTTTGACTCAGAATATCCAATCCATTGGTTGTGGACATTGGCATGAAAATGGGCACTAGTCAAGGCCTCTGAAGCCAGATAGGAAGCACTGTTCAAAATCTATAGTTTGGTGTATGGCTGCAATAAACAAAGAATATGGTGGCTGGACGCAAGATACATGATCAGAAAGTCATGGATACGTGATCGGAAAGAGCTAAGGAGAGCAAACAGCTGAGACTTGCAGCTGGAGTGGATATCTCTGGGCAGGACTGAAGCACTGATGTTAGAATGAACTTTAGAATGAAGATGGTGTCAGAGCAGAAAGTGAACCATACTGACTGGACCATCTTGAGATAAGAAAATTCAAGGACTTAAGTAAATAAGATTTATGCTTACACATAAGGCCTTATATCTAAGTGACCTACAGGAAAATTGTGAACTGAACCTTTGTGTCTGGACCCCTGGCTCATGAGTTGCAAAGTGTGATTGACTTCAAGACCACAGGTTTGTCAAGCTTCCATTAAAGAGTTCCCATAAGAACTGAAACTGAGCTGAGTCTAGCTTGTTATGTGGGCGGTTGCATTGACTTTGAGGGACTGTCAAGGACAAGTCAGAGAGAACTTTAGAGGACTGATCAAAGCAAATAAGAAAGATCTTGCCCCTCAGTTCAGTTTGAGACTGCACAAGAGGATTAATGACAAAGTCAGTGCCATCAGTAGCCAAAACAAGCGCTTGTCATGTGCTTTAGAAACTATTATTTATATGTTCATTTGTATTTCTAAAACTGAAAATAAAATATATTTCTTGCAATAACATAACCACAGTTTCAAGAAATATTTGTTCCAATATGTGTAAACTTTTAGTGTATAATTGACTGCTATGTTCATTGTGTCCCTTATTAAGGTGCATTGTTGAAAGCTTTAAGAAGAATGTAGTTATAAGTCCAACATTCTTAGATATCAATAAAAGCCTCATTGGTGATCTCATTTGCCAATAATTTTTGGTAAGTGTATTTTCAATGCTTTATTGTGACAAACTTTATGCAATGAATGCTCTATATTTCCATGTACAATTTAGTGAGACTTACATATGTATGTAATAATATGGTTATAAATTTACTTATTGATAGACATAATTATAAGTTTCAACACCTGACCATGATATGACTCTAGGTTTCTTCAAGTTAATAATCCTACCTCATCCATATATCTGCACCCTTTGATAGGTCATAATTTTCTAGAAACGTTCACTAGCAGAATGAATGAAAACTGAATCCACCCAGCAATGAATGAACTACCCCCCCGACACACACACCCCACACTCACCCGTTCTTGTCACACACATGCATTCAAATATTCTAAGCACCGCTCATCCTGTCTAAAGCATATTGTAAGACTGGAAGACAAAATGTTGGTACAATGAGGTAGCTCCCTTAGAATAGGGAGATCCTGTGACAAAGGAAAACACAAGGTCATATCACCTTGTGCTCCATGTCCATGTAAGAGGACATCACTGGCAGTTCTAGTGAGATTAAAAAAAAAAAAAAAGCACCCTCAGGGCCAGAGAGTTAGCTCAGTGGGTAAAGGCACTTGTTGACAAGCATGGCAGCTTGAGTTCTATCCTTAGGGCTCATGTTGTGGAAGCACAAAACTAACTCTCTCAAATTGTCCTCTGACTTTTACTGCACACACACACACACACACACACACACACACACTCCCTCTCTCTTTCTCTCTAAACAAATAAATAAATAAATAAATAAATAAATGTGACTTTTCAAAAAGAAACACCTGAATCGCAATCCTTTTCTCCTTAGCATTCTAACCCCATATGTAATGTGTCCATTTCTCTGAAGATTGTTGGACTGGTGTCTATGAAACCCACACAAGCCACCATTAGTACTTACCAGAGTTTGGCTCCCTCCCACTTCCCAGAGTTGCCAACTGTAGGCAGCTCTGTCTTGCATTGTAGACAATGCTCCATAATTACAGTGGGCTTCACCAAGGAGAGATCACAAGAAGAGTAAAAGAGGAAGAGAAAAAAACTGAACATTCGGAGGACAGGGAAGTCCTGGTAGGTGAAAAGCAGTGTCTCAAGGGCACTTATCCTATTGGTTTCTCAGAGCACTTAGGACCTAAACTGGTTCTCTTATCAAGAGCCTAGTCATAAGATTTCTAGGGATGCACATTCAAGAGAAAATGGAGAAAAAGAAAAATACCTTCTCCCAAATAGGTTAAAAAGAAAGGATTCAGAGGATGGCAAGATGGCTCAGCAGGTAGGGACATTTGCCACCAAGCCTGATGATCTGAGTTCAAGTCCCAGAACCCACACAGTAGAGAGAACTGAATCTCATAAACTGTTCTTCAGCCTTTACATGTGTAATGTTGCAGCTGTACCCACACACATAAACACACAGAGCAAGGGAGGAAGGAGGGAGGAAAGAAGGGAAGGAGGGAGGAATCTTTTTAAAATGTTAAAAATATGACTTTTTGTAGGATAGACTCAAGGTTTCTGGGGTTGAGGGATGGTTTTTCAGTATCTTTTTACTCTGAGGCCTGGGATGAGTTTGTTTAGAGAAGAGGAACTACAGATGAGGAACCTCACACTAAGTACAATAAAGATCCAGATATCTGAGTGCAGGTCTTGAGCTAAGAACCCAGTGATTCTCAATCTCTCCTGGCAGCTGGGCCCAAATTGGACTTCATAATAGACTCCATTACAAACTCTCGCTATATTCTTGACAGAAGTAAACACTTAGTTTTCAAGCATCCACACTGTTATGAATCCTTTTCTTGGAGGAATTTTTAATGACAGATATCCTAAGAGGTGCTACAAACAAGAAAATCCCTGGGGTTCTCATTGGCAAAAAAACGATGGCTCACTTTATTAACTTTTCACACAATGAGATGCCTTGGGAGACTATTCTGTTGATTTGTAACCATAGCTTGAATTCTGCAGCTCTCCTAGAATTTCCAGTTCCTCTCTAAACATAAAAAGAGTTTTGCATTCTCTGGGTCTGAGAAGGTCCCAGTAAGCCACTCAGACCTATCCCTTTATGGAAGCAAAGTGAACTGTGAAGTACACACAGACATCTTGGTATCATTAATTGTCATAAAGATATAATGTAGAATTTGTTTTAGCAGTTCTCTAGTAAAATAATTTCAAAAGTATTGTTTGTCTGAAAAAGCCATGACCACTATTAAATATTTTAGCTTGTATTTTTAAAAGTTAAAAACTTAACTGTAGCTGAGATTTTAACTTAAGTTTCTATAAAATTAGTGTACCTGAATCATATGCCAGATGTTAGAACAATTTCATAATTTCTATGCTATGACATTGAATTTGGTTAATGATGTGGTTTTTCATCAATATTTATATAATATGGAATTTTTACCATATTTTATCATATTTCCTACTGAATTTTACCCATCTACCTCTTTTTAAGGCTACTAGTGGAATAATTATTTGTAATAATTTACACATTTTATCATCCAAACTTTAATTCTATTGGCGGGTCATTATTTATAGAGAACTTTTAGACATCAATTAGCTATTACTAGGTTGAGTGAAAAAAAATCAATCAAGAGGGCTTTGAGATTTTTGTGGGAGAAGATTGTGGATGCTTGTGACACATAGATGACAGATGTAGAGAAGGGTGGAGTGACTTGTCATCATTACTGATCTTTTATTATAGAAGAAGAGATAGAAAGTGTTAGAGATTAAGTGGCTCATCCAAGACCAAACAGAACTGAAATACTATGAGCAATCTCTTTTACTTCCTCCTCCAACTCATCCCTACTTAACTGCTTCTAGGTAAGAGCAGCAAGTGCTGTAGAGCTGTAGGACATGATTTCATCTGAACAACTTCCCAAATTTTTTAAAGGTTAATTAAATTTTGTGAAATAGTGTCATTTACTTGCTTCTTTTTAACACTATACTAGTGTCTACACTAAAGCATAACTCTCACCTCAAAGAGGATAGGAGATAATTTATTCTGGAGCCAAATATGAGTGACCATGGCCCGGGAACACAGATTCAGGTTACCCCAAATTCCATGTTCCAGCATGGAAGCAGTTTTATGGAGTTTTTATAGTAACATAATAAAGAAGAGTCATAAATCAAAACAATTTTCATATGCATTTGTGGA